TTTTTGAGAAAAATTTGGAAATCTCAAATAGTTGATTATTGGACAGTGACAAGTTGCACCACTTTAACGCTAGACCTTCAGTGTCCTTGACTACACTGTAACACTGGTCTCTTATGGATCAACACAATGAACTCATGCACCAATGCATAACTGCAGATTCACCAGTCTATCTAGTGATAAGCGCTAAAAAGTGCGCAATTAAACCATTTAAGCTTAGGTATTCTAGGACCTTTATCTATCTTACTTTCCCGTTTTAGACTAATTTCATGTTATTGCCCTTTTCAGGCACTTATCCCAAAAATAAGTTAATTCAGCCAAATAAGAGTATTAAAGAAGCTAACTCAAGCTGGATGGAAGAAATGAGCAAAGTGGAAGCAGAATGAAACAAAGTGTGGAAATCAACATGTTCGATCGATCTCAGAAATCCTTTGATCGATCGAAGCAACATCGATCTGGACACATCAAGATGGATCCAAGTCTTTGTTCTTATCCAAAAGAATCCACCATGTTCGATCGATCCAACTTCACTTCGATTGATCGAAAATATTCGATCTTATCCACACCTACCACCCCACCTACTATTTTTGTCTCTTTCCCAAAATATCTCAGAGATTTGTCATTATTCAAAAAGGCGCCACCAAGGATGATCGATCTCTGCAGCATTCGATGAATCTCACCAATGTTCGATCGATCTCTACACAGTTCGATCGATCGAACCTCCTCAAGTTCGAAAAAAAAATAAGTTTCAGCTCATTAAAAGTTGGCTTATGTGCAATCATTGCAAGGACCCTAGTGCACGAATCCAGACCATTGGGTGTGACACTTGAGCCTCCTATATAAAGATTTTGAGCCATTTTTACACATAGCTTGGATCTCATAATATCATCTCATATACTTAGAAACATTCTTAGAGAGGAGGAAAGGCTAGAGATACATTTTTGGGAGTTCCTCCATTCTTCTAGAGTTTCCATCAAGAAGGAGGTCATTCCTACCATGGAGATAGCCCTTGAGGGTTGGATGACTACTTCAATGAGTGGCTAAACATCTTCTTGGGGCTAGAGTTAGCCCTAAGCATGCCTTCTAGACTTTAATGCTTTGTATTTTGAGGGGATTTGTGTTGTAATCTTGTCTTAACACTTATTTTATATATAAATCTTGTTTATTCAATGATTTATGTGGTTTAATACTTCCAATTGATCATTTCATTCTATCCATATGTCTATGCATGCTAGAATAGATGTTCATGTGTTTATTTCTAATTTTTGTGTTATTGATGCATGTCTATGTATGTTGATGCTATGGATCTAGAGATTGTTAAGGCATAGTGCTTAATAGAATACTATTGTGGTTTATTTGATGGTTCATACTCATGTCTTAATGGATTGTGCCTCTCCCTTAGTTTCTTTAGTTTAATTTTCATGCCCTTAGCTTAGTTGTAGTGTGGTTGCCTTAGTTGTTAGATGGGAGGACAATCCATGCTTGTTGTTTGATGTTCCATACTTATGAATGCAAGTAGTATTATTCTTTAACCATGTGATGTGTTTGGATTGAGCTTAAAGGAAAGATTAATTGCTTAGTTTGATGTATTGTGCTATTTACTAAGTTGTTTAGACAATATATGCTTAATTAGTCATTCATGCTTGTTGAAACAATCAATCACACACTCTCAAATTGCAACACATGTGTCCCCTCATTAATTATACATTGAATGTCTAGAATGATGATGTTTAGTGGTGACCTCTAGACCCCAAGACCTCACTCTCTTATTTTCTCTAAATTTCATTTAAATTGTTTATTTTACATTGAACCTGTTTAGTTTAGTTTGTAGTCTAATCAACCAAACACTCTACTTTTGATCACTCGACCTACTAACCCTATACATTGTTTCCATTGCTAGAGCACCCACAATCCCTTGGGACGATCCCTACTCACCCTAGCTATATTTTTAGTTAGAGGTAGTAGTGACTTTTATAAATTTAAAACTTGGCCACATTGCACACTCACACTCTTTTGCACATCTTTTAGACGTTGGTGCGACGGCAACACCATCTAGGTTATGCCTTAAATTATTTCAAGAAAAAAATAGAGACTACATGCACCGATCCATAATGTTGCATGCACCAACCCAACGTGTTCAAGATAATACATGCATCCGTCCGACATTTCCCAATTCAATCTGGACCGTTCTTCCTGTCAAAAATCAGTCTGGATTCTTTGTAGATGTCTTCTAATATTTTTAGTACTTTTTCAACTAAAAAAAAAAGACAAATATATATATAATATAACTCAACCACTGATTTTAGTGAGATATACATTAGAATTTGCAGAAAGAGGAAAAGTTAGTATTTTGAGAGAGAATTCTGCAGATTTCAAACACACACTTGTACATATGAATGTTTAGTTGTGTGTGTTCATTGTTGATCGTCGATTCGGAGCATTATCACTAAGATCATCTAAGCTTTTAAAGCAGCATAATTACCATATTCTTTGAATGCATTAGTGGAAGGCAAAAGTCATTTAATCACTACTCTTAAGGAATTGGGAATGGAGGAATTGAACATCGAGGATAAATCAACGGCAAGTGATTCCAAAGGTGCTAAAATTAAAAACTCATGGAGAGTGATTTTAAAGGCACTAAAACTCGTACTCTTTCTCAGACATGGTGTATTTTTTTTTTTTCACCTGAGATGACAATCTCCTTGATTTTTCCTCACTTGAGATTTTCCATGTAAAAATTAAAAATTAAAATCAAAAGGTAGCGGTCATTATTTTGATGGTTTTATATATTGATCTACATTTAACTAAAGGTAGTATAAAAATAAAAACAGACAAAAAGAGAAAACCAAACCAATTCAACTCCCCACCCTCTCTCTAGATCATTCTATTTGAGAAAACATCAAAACCACTTCCACATTACGCAACTCTGAACATATTCCCCCTCTCTCTAGGTCATTCTATTTGAGAAATTTTCAAAACCACTTCCACATTACGCAACTCTAAGATATATTGTGTCAATAACAATCAATCTGCCTATAAAGATGGTGTTAGAAATTAGTTTGGGTTCAGTCTGCCTATAAAGATGGCGTTAGAGATTAGTTCGGGCTTATGATGCGACAACCGATTCAATGATCCAATCTCTTCACATTCTATTCTACATTTTTTTCTCTCGTTCTCTTTCTCTGGAGTGGAATTTAGGCCCTATTCACAATAATATTGGAATCTATCAAGGTTACAAGAAATGAGGATAGTATAGGGGATAAAGGTATTGAAGACAAAAGTGCAGCAAGAAAGTTTTGCCAAAAATGTAAAGAAGAAAAATAGGAAAAAAGAAAGGAGAACGAAAGCAGAAGATCACAAAAACAGTCTATGTTGGCAGGAATTTGGAAGGGTGAAAGTTGAAAAATACATAATTACTAGGTACCCTTGATATGTCATCATTGTAACCTAAAAAGAGGATAGTAGAGTAAAAAAGGGGAGAAACTAATTCTCCCTGTGGAGGTGGAGAGATTAGCCTTTTGTGTGTGTGTGTGTGTGTGATAATTGGCAAATAAAATATTTTAAGGTGTGTTTAGTTGCGCGAAATTTAGACTTGCTAATTGGGAGTTTTAGAAAGAGGGAATTCTTGGGGTGCATTTTGTAAAATTTCACAAAATTTTATATATATATATATATATATAAAATTTAAAAATAAATATATATATATATAAAAAAATTCAAGGGGGGAAGCTGCCCCTGAGCCAGCATAAAGGGATCAACTCATATTGACCAATTTCCAGCGCTATCTTCGTTCTATTTCTCAACCTTCTATCCTAGTAACTTCATTGCCCATAAAATATCCTAAATTGTAATTATACCTATCAGTAGGCTAATTTTTTATATTACAGCAACTCAAAGTTGTGTTTTAACTTTTAATTCTTGTATTAATAAATGACCCAAATTGAAATGACAGAACCTAATTGAACAAATACTATCATCAAAGTGAAACCTTAAGAATTTTTGTGTAACATAAAGCCTTCAAAGAAATACCCTAAAAAATCACTGATAAATGTCAGATCCCTGAAACTGCATGGAATGGTGAACAGACAGAAAATATTTATATAGTACCTAAACTACCCTTACATTATGCAAGAATACATTAATTACCTTACAATTCTATGTAATCTACTTCAATGTATATATATATATATATATATATATATATATATATATGCTCATATACTGGAGTAATTGTATGTACCTTACCCAAAAAAATTATAATAGTTTTTTTTGCTAATTAAATTGAATTAATTTAATATATATATAGATATATATATAATCGACATACAAATTTATTATATTTAAATAAATTAATAATAATCTATTTCTCCCTTCAACTTGTTCTATTTTCCCCACCCACTCCTTTGCCATCGCTGCCGGCTTCCTCTTTCTTTCCTAAACCCTAAAATCTAACATGCAAGTGGCAAGGTGTTCGGTGTTCTTGGTGATGAATTGAAACAGGAAGCATTAGTGCCACATAATGAACTATTAGAATTGAGGTCAGCGAATCTGTGGCACATGCCATATGTAGTCCAACTCAGCGCAGCAGGGACCACCTTCATTTCCCAAGTATCCAAGGCAAATCCAAGGGCAAACAGAAATGAGATTTATCATTCTTAACTACTTGACACATCATGCAAATCACAACAAAGGGAACCACCACAATGGCCAACAGGGAATACAAGGAGTCACTAAAGAATAAAAGATCATGACACTAAAATATCAAGAAGAAATTCAATATATAAATACCATCTCTAAATAATTCAGCTAAAACAAGCTTACACATCCAGGAGTTTTCAAAGTCGAAATTTCAAAACTTGAAGGACTTTTTCCTTCCCAAAATGAAAAAGAAAAATACCAAGGGGCCAATTGGTCCAGCGGTATCACCCCTTCCTTCCCAAAAGGAAGGTTGGGGGTTCGAACCTCGGTGGAGGTAGGGTGTGTGAGTAATTGCTTTAACTTTCAAAAAAAAAAAAAATTGAAAAAGAAAAATCAAAGTTCATTAATCACCCTCTAAATCTCTAATATCCAGCGAACCTTGTCACAATGGTACTGCAAGTCCTACACCGGCAAGTAGAATCTAGTCAGAATATGCATCAGATACAAAACAAGAGTCATCCACCAACACAATACAACAAAGATAGATATACTAAATATTTGAATTATAAAGCCATGTATGCAATTAAAAGACCAAATATTAGTTGCTGATCTCAAAATATTAGCTGTTAGCCTGACTGGTATCTCCTAAAACGAGAAAGTATACAATACACGGGAGTATTTACTATGTGGTACCCCGACCAATGGACAATCATGGTTTTTCTTGAAAAATCTACATTTATGTGTATCAATGCAAATTGAGAGTTTCCATGACGGTCCATTGGCCCGGGGTACCACATGTAAGTACCCATAAATAAGGGGTGTGGGTTTCAACTTTCAAGTCCCAATTGAGAAGGTGGGTATTTGTGTCATTCAAAATTCATAATTCCTGATATCACATTATGTTCTATTCAATTTAAAATGCAAGAGACATAAAGAAAAAGTTACAAAATTGCCATCAAATTTGATGATATAAGATGGAACAATATTCTAATCCGTGCTACTCCACACAACAAACATTAATTGAAAGCCAAAATTAGTAAAGATTGTTTAAGGATGACAATACCGGCATTAATCACATGTATCAAATATTAATATAAGATTTCATAGTAATAGTATCAACGAAATTGAAATGAGAATATTTTAAGAGAGAGATGATGATGATAATATTGATATACCTTGAGAAAGCCAACTCCAGCAGGAGGAATCAAAGGCCATACTTGATTTCAGACGACTAGATGGCGCTGTGAAGTGGCATCATCGACTCAACGCTTCCCAAGACCGAAATAATCCTGAAAACCCATAAATACACAATGGCAAATACATACAAATATATATATGTGTGTGTGTGTGTGTGTGTATAAATCGAACAAACATGTATTACATTGAAGAGGAAGGGAAGCTAGCAAGAGTCTTGGGAGGATTAAGAAATGAGGGGCTTACCTTGAAGCAGCACAAGGTATGGTCTTGTGGAAAAAGAGAATGGAGAGGAAGACACGGATTTTGGAGCTAGGTTTTGGGAATTAGGGTTTTGGAGCCAGTTTTGAAGGACCTGACCGTTGCCATTACGATTGATCCACCCACCGATGCCATCTCTTTCTTCTCTCTCAGCAATATTAGAATGCAATATCACTCATCTTGAAGATGATGTTGATGGTATGATGAGAAACATGGCGATCAACTTCAGCCATTCGCAGCGGCTCCTTTTGGCGCTGCAACAGCCTCTCCTATTTTATTTTATTATTATTAGTTTATAATTTTTAACAAAAATTATATTTATAAGGAGTATAATTTTCATCTTATATAAAAACAATACATCATCACTACATTTATCTAAAAACAAATACATTATATTATGGAATAAATTAACAAAAAGAAAAAAGAAAAGAAAAAAATAATGTAATATCCATTATCATGGATTAAAAACAATTGTAAATAACTGAAAAAATACAATACCCAAACTTGGATTAAGTAAAAAAAATGTTTACTTTGGCATGTTTCATTAAGGGGGAAAAAAAAGTGAAAAAAATAAGTTAAAAAAGTTATTTTGTAGATAAAAAAACGAAGAAAAAAAAAAGTTTTTATTTTTTTATTTTTGTAAGCCAATATAGTCATTGGGCACTATTTGGGCCACCCAAACGGTGCCTAAGGACTACATGCATGTTTTATTTATTAATTTAAAATAAAAGAGACAAAAAAAAAGTGAAAAACAAGTTTTAGGGGGTTTAGGGTCCAGCCAAACAAGCCATTAACCCCTTAATTTTTGAAAAAATGGCCGTGCAATTACAATGCGATATAGCTAAAAAAAAAATAGCTATTGTGGGCTAGGCCTGCTCGCATTAAGCGAGCAGGTTGTAGCTCAAAATTTGGCCATTCTTGCTAGAATGGGCCTCTAGCGAGTGGATTGGAGATGTTCTTAGCAAAATGCCTTGGAAAGACTGTGAATGTTGAATTAAATGGGCAACAGGTCCTGTAAAATCATTTGTTAATTATTTCAATCTGTAATTACAATATGCCACTAAGGACAGACCCAATCCTCTTCCAAGGTTTTCTCTATGACCTTTGTATTTATCATTTTTATTCCTTTTACATTTAATTAGGCCTCCTAATCAGTTTTTGTAATTTCATTAGGATTACAGAAAAAGTCAATGAGAGGTGGGAGGTTTGCGTGAGCTTGTGACGGACACTTAATGATAAATTCAAGTATATTAATTAAGCATCATCAATTATTATTTAGTTCTGAAACTTGAATTTTACATGTGGATGTACTGATTTTTACAGGTTAGCTTTGTAAATGGGTGTGCCATGATCAAACAAATTTTAGATTACATTATGGGAGTAAATGAGGATAGTAAGAATGCCAACGTCGAAGCTTATGATTTGGGGAATTTATGGGTGTTCCTCAATGTTGTTATTGACAACCCTACATTTGGATCCATTGTAAAAGAAACAATAACCATTTTCAAAGTTGTTTTTGTTCCAAATGTGAACTTTTACAAAAGTTTTTACAAAAAAAGTTTGTATCATTATTTATTAGAGATGTCTGTCAATATATATATATATATATATATATATATATATATATATATATATATATATATATATATCAATTTACTACTTCATGGGTACTATATTTTTATTGGTGAACATTATTGCAATTGCTAAGATTAATAAAGAGGCTGCAGTTGCTCAGTTGCTGAAAAAATTGAAGAATCTTAAAATAAGTGACACAAGAAGGGGAAATAGAATCTTTGGTATTCCCAAGCTACGTGACGCCTACTATGTAGGAGAAGAAAACTATCATAAATGTACACTGATTTTGACTGAGGGAGACTCAACAATGGCTTTTGTGTTAAGTTCCCACTTTATTGTATATTCAACTTATATGACTTATCTAATAAATGTAATGAACATAATCTGTTGTCCCATAAATCTAGACAAAACCAAGTTATCTGAAAGACATAACTCCCTGAAAGTGTCCAACATTTTTTGTGGCATCTAGTGACCAAAATACCTAAAAATGACTTGTCTTGGTCGGAGGTAGTACATTCCCACCTCAATTGCAACTCAATATAAGTAATTATTAGAATTTTCCTGACATTATAATTTTTTTGTGGCATCATAGTTTGTGGTTTTCTTTGGATTTATCATTATTGTTCATCATAATATTCTTATTGTGTATGGAAACTTATGTATGCAAAAATCATAGGTTAGGCCTTTAAGGGACATGTAATAGTAATCTTCCATCATATTAGGCCTTTAAGACCACAGCCTCTATATCACTGAAGGGACTTATAGCTTGCAGAGATCTATGTAACAGTATGGTTTGAAAACTGGTATGTAACAAGTAGTTATGTATTCAATTACTGACTGACTTATGTTCTTCAACTTCCTTTTATTCCTTCGACCAAGACAGGTCCTTTCTAGGTATTTTGGTCACTAGATGCCATAGAAAATGTTGGACACTTTCAGGTAGAGCTATATCTTTCAGATCGATAACTTAGTTTTGTCTAGATTTATGGGTTTTATATACGAGAATTTCATTACGAAGAGTAGAAATAAATGTAATGAACATGATCTGCTATCCCAAAATTGTTCCGTTTGACCATGCCATAAACTCTATAGGTCTAATTCCCATTTCTGTCTATTTGCAATGAAATTTTGAACAACAAATCATGTCATATTTGTTGGGGCACAGCGGAAGCAAAAGAAAGAAAGAAAACAATAATTCAAACCACAACACAAGATATATACGTGGTTCACCCAAAATCAGGGTTACATCCACGGATGAGAAGAGATTCACTATATATGTAGAGATATTACAATAGTAGAGAATTTCAACACCGGACTATGTACACAAACTCTTGATCGAGTTCTCTGTGTACTCCACGAGACTCCCTCTCGCCATCAGTGTTCACTCTACCAAACCCGTAACTCACCCCTACCATCAACGTACTCCCTCATGAGGTTACATCTCTCTCAACTCATAACTCTCAACAATAGCCTAAGTGTCTATTTATAGAGTCACATACCCAATTCCTTTGTGGACAAGGATTATAATTTCTTAGAGCCCAATTCACGTCTCTATAAGAAATTACCATAAATATACACTTTAAAATAGAAACTAATAATAATCAGAATTCGAGACATAATTCCTAACAATCTCCACCTTGACTTAAATTCCATTACGTCAATCATTGCTTCTCATGGCAATTGAATCTGGATAATTATCTGCAACTTCAATCTTCTCGATCTTATTGCAGAACTCGATTATCCCCACTATACGTTGCTTAATTAGTCAAAACCCTAAGGCTCCACCTTGACTACTCAAGCTCCATGCCATGTAACCAAGTCGATTGACTTCACCTACAACTGAAACCCGTTGTAGCACATGTTGAGACTTCTTGTGTTTTTTGGATCTCCTTCACCTTTGGCTCTGATACCAGTTGTTGAGGCATAGCGGAAGCAAAAGAAAGAAAGAAAATAATAATTCAAACCACAACACAAGATATATACGTGGTTCACCCAAAATCAGGGTTACATCCACGGATGAGAAGAGATTCACTATATATGTAGAGATATTACAATAGTAGAGAATTTCAACACCGGACCATGTACACAAACTCTTGACCGAGTTCTCCGTGTACTCTACGAGACTCCCTCTCGCCATCAGTGTTCACTCTACCAAACCCGTAACTCACCCCTACCATCATACTCCCTCATGAGGTTACATCTCTCTCAACTCATAACTCTTAACAATAGCCTAAGTGTTTATTTATAGAGTCATATACCCAATTCCTTTGTGGACAAGGATTACAATTTCTCAGAACCCAATTCACATCTCTATAAGAAATTATCATAAAAATACACTTTAAAATAAAAACTAATAATAATCGGAATTCGAGACATAATTCCTAACAATATTTTATATGCAAATATAATGCATTGCCCTGTGATATGCATGTCATATTTCGTTTGCAAAGACTCATCATCATGTCCCCTCCCGAAACTATAAGTAAAGTCACAAGATTTGATAATATTGAAAAAGTGAATAATTTTAGAATCATTATCAATTGTATGCTAAAGCTGCATATTCCACAAGTTGTAATTACCTATACAAATTCTAATCTTTAGACTGCACCAAATAATGATTTTTATTTATTTATTTATTTTTTGTTGGTGATCCATCTAAATACAAAAACAAAAAGTAACCCCATCTTACATGCCTTTTAATCCCATTTTCTTTTCACTTTTTAGAATGATGTGTTGATATTAAAAATCTCCACATTTTTCAACACCAAAAGTGAAACCAAATTTTTAGTCTTTATTCTCTACACCACCACCACATCCACAATGCTCAATTTTTACTCATTTATACCTACTTTACTGATGGCTGGAATTTCCTTAGTAGTAGGTGATTATTATGGGGTACTTTCATTGAAGGGTAAATTATTAAATGTGCAATGAGCAAAAGGTGAATGGTTCAAGAACAATCATCAGATTAAGCAAATAATTAAAGTTCTTGATCTACGGTGTAAAAAGATATATGACAACACTCTCGAAAAGATGAGATTCGGTCACTTGATGATTATGGTGGATTCGGTAACTTATTTGTTTTCTCTTTAATACAATTATAATTTATGTAATATGTTCATTACTAATAGGGGATTGGCTTGTGTTTCCTGACAAGGTCACAACGGTTCTCATCTCAAAGGCCTAATTATTATTATTATTTTTTTAAATATTGGCCATCACTCCTTCAAATCCTATATTTCTTAGTAGAGTTGATTGTACCAATCATGAAAGTATGCAATTGCTTATGAACTGCTTAATCTACATTTCAATCTTAATGAAAGTGAACTTAACTTTCTTTTGTGATACAGGCCACTAATACAAAAAAGATATTATCCTTTTATTCCATATCTGAATATGAATCATGGATTAAGAGTTTGGGGGAAATTTAAGTAACTGGTCCATTAAGTATTATAAGGTTTGTTTTTTTCAAATTTTATTAACTGTTTGATTGTTAGTATCAATATTATTATAATAGCGCATCTAATTTCCTTGCAGGGATTGGAATCACATACATCGGTGGAAGGAATAAACTACTTTGTAGATATTGATAAATTAAAGAAAGAATTTGTTTGGGAAGGTGTAGATGGTAAGAAAGGTATTGAACTTTTTTTTTATAAAAAAAAAAAAAAAAACTGAGGAAAGGAAGGAGTGGATAAGACTTTCTAAG